TTATCACATAGGAATTTGAATCCTTACAATGACCTACTTATATTACTAGACTTGAAAAAAATTTACCTCTAGTGGCCATTGGCTTTTTTACTCATCAAAATCATCCTCTAATCATATCTCATCACTATAATCGTGTATTGGTCTCCGTACTTTAATACAGCCTCTGCAAGGGAAGTTCTACTCATTGCCTTCTCGCGGCGAGGGTGTTGTTTACGAAAATGAGAGGACGAAAAGCGAATGTCCGGCGCTTTAACCGGATCACAAACCAATGGTGCACATGGGCTCCAGTATCCTGAGGGAACAAATGGCGTATGAACCAATTGTTGGTCACCGGCTACCATGGGATTGCATTTCCTCACGATCTTCCACTGCCTTGTGGGTTAGACCTTTAGGTCAAAGGCTTGGGGTGTGGCCCCCTAAGACAACCACCTGCTTCGGTCTGGGCACCCGGGCAGTATCACAGCCCACACATAAATGATGAACTGGCTATTATTATGGAAACTACTTTTCTTGCTTCAACTAACAATCAAATGATTCAAATTATTATTATTATTATTATTATTAATTAATTAATTAATTAATTAATTAATTACTACATCATTATTCTTCCTCTTTTATTCTTACTCTGTCTATACTTATTTTTCGACTTATACAGCAGCTCGTCTTTGGTGGAAATTCGACTGTATCTAAACGTTCTCGAGTCACTGTCCGGTTGAAAATTGTATGTTACCACCGAATATGAGTACTGAAGCAGTTTTTCTGAAACCACGTGCACCATTCAAACTGGCTGCCTTCAACGTTCGCACATTTATGCAGGTCGGACAACAGATAGGGCTGGCTATGTCTTTGGAAAGTCTTAATATCGATGTTTGTTGTCTATCCGAGACCCGTATTCAAGACTCTGGCGAAGTACTACAAATTCGCTCTCCATCTGTCGCTTCGAAAAGCTTGTTTTACGTGCGCTTATCCGGGGACCCTGTGGCATCTTCGTCTGGTCTTGCTGGCGTTGGTGTCGCACTAAGCGCTAGAGCTGAGGCAGCACTAGTCGATTGGATCCCCATTAACAGTCGGTTATGTGCTGTTAGATTAGAAAGTTCCATCAAAGTGAGAAGAAATCGGCGTGAGAAACGATGTCTTTTCGTCATCTCCGCCTATGCCCCGACAGATTGCAGCCCGGATGCAATCAAGGATGAGTTTTACCACCAGTTAACTGTTCTTCTCCAGAAAGTGCGTTCGACAGATATTGTAGTACTAGCCGGAGACTTGAATGCTCAGGTCGGGCGTCTAGGCACAGAAGAGAGTCGTTTAGGTGGCCGATGGGGACTTGTTGGTCGCAGGTCAGATAACGGGGACCGTCTACTGCAACTGTGCACAGACCACAACCTGTTTCTGGCTAGCACTAACTTTCGGCACAGTCATCGCCGATGTGCCACCTGGCGTCCTCCCTCTGCATCTCAAGCCTGGACTCAGATTGATCACATCGCGATCAGCTACCGCTGGCGTGGTTGTGTACAAGACTGCCGCTCCTTTTGGAGTACCTATCTGGACTCTGACCATGCCTTGGTCTGCGCCAATCTTACCTTACTTTTCAGTGGACAACGAAGTGACCACCACCAACGGATTGATGTTAGCAAGCTGGTTGCAACTTCTGTTGCAAGTAAGTATCGAACCGAGCTAGCCTCTAGGCTAGCTACCACTCCACCGAAAAGTATAGATGAGCATTGGTTGCAATTGCATGACGCCATGAAAATGGCGGGAACAGTCAGTTGTGGGTTTGCGAAACGTCCCGCTTTAAGCACTGGGTTTCTTCTGGTTCCTTACAACTCATTGAAGCCCGTCGGTCTACTCCGGGTGACCGTGAGTTTGACCATAAACGAAGGATGTTACGTGAGAAAATTGGGCAAAGCTTGCGTAAGGACCGAGAAGCCTGGTGGTCGGAGCGTGCTAATGAGCTGGAAGCAGCAGCTGCATCTGGTAATTACCGGAAGCTCTTCCAACTCATCCGAGCCACTGGCAGCAAGAAGTCTGGTGTGAGCGAAGCAATCTGCGAGGATGACGGGATGCCAATCACCAACATTCATCGACGTCTTGGACGATGGGCGGAATTCTTCGAAGGGCAGTTCAACTGGCCTGCTGCTCCGGCAAAATCGATGGAACCGTCCTGCCCTCCATGGCCGGTGACGACTGATCCACCAAATGAGGCGGAAGTCCTCAAGCAACTCCAACTCTTGAAGCACTACAAATCACCTGGTCCAGACGACTTACCTCCGGCTCTTTTTAAAGATGGTGGTGACTTTCTGACTAAGGAACTGACGACGTTGTTTACAAAGGTCTGGGAGCTCGAAAGTGTGCCAACGTCATGGAATGAGCCGATAGTTGTCCCTATCTTTAAAAAGGGTTCACTTCATTCGGATGTTAGACGACTCTCTGTGTTTGATCATCGTTGTCTCCGGAGGATTGCTGACATCCAGTGGCAACACCATGTTAGTAATGCAGAGGTTCGGCATCGTGTGTTCGGGTACAGAGACGATAATGCAATCGGTGTCACCATCTTGAAACATCGACTTCGGTGGCTTGGACATGTTCTACGGATGTCGTCCCAGCGAATTCCACGTCGTGCATTATTTGCCGACTCTGGGACTGGTTGGGAGAAGCGGAGAGGTGGTCAGTGCATGACATGGTGTCGTGGCATGAAAGAAAGCTGCAAAGGACTGGCTTGTGTTGGTCCTTCACGACTCCCTGACTGGGGTCCGAGAGATGGTGCAACACAGTGGCTAGAGACGTTATCAGATATGGCTCAGAATAGAAGCCCGTGGCGATCCTGCTGTAACCTTCTTTTACTTTCTTCGTAAAAAGTGGTTGTTTCTTCCTTAACTGAAAGATTTCTTCTGATTGTACCTTTCCGTTTCCCCCATTATTATTATTATTATTACACTACCGTACACTAATCTGTTCGTTATTGTTCTTTTTTTCTCTTCGAATTCTCATTGTTTTGTGTGGCGCATATATATTTGGTGTCCTCATACCAATATTTGTGTTCAAATAATGAAATAAATAATATTAGATACCGTTGATTATCAAGTGGATCCTATCATGCGGACAGTCAATCGAATCCCTAACTTGACAATCGTTTCCGCTTTCATTTCAAGATCCAATTAAGAGACCTTATTGATGGCATTATGAGATCTATAAAGACTTCAACCATCAGAATATTTTCGTGTGCTGCAGTCCAGTCTTCTCTTGCTGTGAGGTTAGTTCATAGCGGACAGTTTGTAGGTTCACATCGAACTACCTGTTGTATGGAGAGAAACTCTTAGGAGCTAAAGGTACTTTTACATGCAAACTACTCTTTTTGTACAGAAGAGATAGTACCAACCGATCAGTCCACCGATACAATTCACACCTTAGTGAGTGGAGTGTTTGTTCTCCACACATTCGGATGAGATTGAACCTGACCATAAACTATGTCATAGCCTCTGAACCTGTGTGACAAACCTGCATGACAACTATTTGCCAACGGCAGCAAAACACTAAGCATGGATTAGTACTAAGTTCAGTATTAAAGATCCTTGGTTTGAATACCTGGTGAACTAAAACACTCCATCATAATCATAAAGAGCCGGCTATGGAATCTTGTCGGGGACAAATTTATTTGATTTACACCAGGCTCATCAAAATCACCGGTTATAATGTGTTCTAGTGCAAAATCGTCAATCTAACAATCTGCGCAATCGGATTAACAACTAGAGATTCCACAAGCCTCACTCTTATAAGACACAGGTAAAGGGATGTATAGCCAAGAAATCTTTGATGCATAGTAGCGTGTATATGCGTCGTAGTATACTTTTCGTTATCGTAGCACTGTTTTACAAGATTGTTAGCAGCTTTTTTTTCACTGAATATTTGTAATGAGCTATCGGATCCGAAATAATATTGTACTTTAGTAGATAGTCAGTAGTAGTACTGGTAGATTTTATTAATTTGGTTACATTGAGAAAAATAAGGATCTATATAAGACACATTTAGCGCTGCTAGTTGACCTCTATCATTTTAAAATTTGGCTTCGGAACTAAGGGTGTTCAGCGGTTCTCCATATTCGTTAATTTTTGTGGCCAGAGGATTTCTCGCATTATGTGCATTACAAAACATGGAGACCTGGATACTGCGCGACAGTCCGTTCTCTTTTAATTTATGGCAGTGAAACATGGCCATCAAGAGTAGAAGACACTCGTAAGCTACTAGTATTTGACCACAGATGCCTTAGAAATATTGCTGGCATTTGCTGGGATCACCGGGTAAGTGAGGTTAGACGCAGGGTATTAGGGAATGATGGTAAATCAGTTGACGAGGTTGTGAATCTTCATCGACTGAGATGGTTGGGCCACGTGTTACGTATGCCTAAACACCGATTACTACAACGTGCAATGCTAACCGGTGCTGGAGATGGTTGGAAGGAAGTTATGGGCGGCCAAACCAAAACGTGGCATCAGTGCTTGAAGTCACTAACTTCTAGTCTGAGACATGTTTAGAGATGCAGACGACTTGGTTGGGGTCCGCGTGACAATCTTAACCAATGATTGGAGACTCTTGGTGACATGGCTCAGAATCGATTACAGTCGCGTCGGTGTATACACTCTTTGTCCTCCCTTAAACTAAGAGATTAAAATCGCTTCATATCTTTCTTTCTACTAACTACTTCTTTCTTCCTAAACTATATCCTTATTACAATCTTTCTTTTGTAATATTACCACCTCTGAACTAACTACTTTTATGAATCCGGTGTCCATCTTGTTGTGTTAATGAGGTATGGCAACTTGGACCGATGCATATATGTGCCTGGTCCTACGTTGTAGCTGACTGACCAGGATAATGTTTATGTCATTATTTTTAAAAATTTCCATTGGTAACTTATCGTTAAACAATTTTATTATTTATCTCCCTCCAAGATATAAAAGCATTACAAACTTTTGGTATAATTGCATATAACAATCTGAGGAAGTCTGCTTAACTTCGGACAGTCCACAAAATCTTCTAATTTAGTTTGCGGGTACAAATTTAGTAAACACCAAGGTTGAATGTGCAAGTATGACAGCTAGTACAAAGCCTCGTCGAGCATCTGCCAAAGCTTGTCTCAAGGCCATATGTGGACTTACTGCTCTCCAGAACTCTGATGATAGCTCAATATCTGAAAATATTGAAAGTGAGATGTCAGACTATGTTGTCGAAAGTGGGGACAATAATATCACTACCGAAGAGAGTGATTCGAATAGTGCAGATAAAGCTGAGATATCTAACGATGCCAAACTCTCATCAGAAAATTCGTCGTCAACAGGCTCGCTTATTGATGAACCATGTCGTAAAAAATCATCAAGTAAAGCTCATCGTCCTGTTTTGAGTGACAAAGGATGTTTGAGATCTCCTTTCGTAAGATATATGAGGTCTTGTCGTGGTCATATTGATCGTGATCCCAGATCTGTAGCTCCTGCGAAATTTCTGCAGTCAATAGATTCACTAAAACATATGTTCAGTAATACGCAAAATCCATTTCTGTTTTGTCCCAGGTAATAATCGCTTAATTGTCATACTTTTTATTAGTGGATATAAGTCACAGTTTATGTGTCGGAAAAAGGCTTTATTTCCAACTTCGGGTGCGTGGGTACGATCACCTATTTAGTAAGTTACTTGTTTCCAATGAACCAACATTATAGTATCAAAAAGGATCACCTTCCAGAGCCTCCCATCAGCCCTATATATTTATCTGACGAAGTAAATACAGTTAAATTAAAACGGTTCGAATTTGACAAGGGTATGTTGCTAAACAGCTTAATAAATAGATTTTAGGTTCAAATTTAGTATATACTGGTGGAGCAGTAACTTGTTTGTCATGGTGTCCTCCTCGTCTTTCTTCACTTCTGGATTCTGAATCAATTGTAAATGAATGTTCGTTTCTTGCGACTTCTTCTATTCTAACACCAGATTCACAAACGCTTTATTCTGATAAGATGGCGAGTTGTCCCGGATTAATACAGATATGGAATTGTGGGGCTTTAGGTCTAACAGAAGTGTAAGTTTACTTTTTCATAGGAGTTCATTCGATAATTTCATTGAATTAAACCTTTTTTAAACTTTTTTTTATGCACATGAATAGAAAAAATATACTATGGTAATAATGCTATTAATATAAGGACATTGATTTTGAAGGTCTTCTGTTATTGCAGCAGTGTATGTATGGCGAATCTGCACAGGTACTGCAGCCAAGTTTTTATGAAAGTATTCACTGATGCGAGTGACAAACTTTCATTAAAAATCATAATAGATGTAAATCTCAATTTCCTGTCCCAATTGTTTTAGTCTTTACCACTTGTCAGTTTACTTATTTCATAAACAAATATGGATACAGGTGGGCACAAAAATAAGTACAAACCACACAAATAATGAAACAAAGTTGTGAGAAGATAGATTGGGGGAAAGTAGTACAAACAAAAATAACTAAGAAATAGGTAGTTGAGAAGTGTGTGCTTAGAGATGAAGTTCACTTAAAAGCACAACCGAGAAGATTTTTTCTCAGTTAGAGAAGTTCCTTTCACTTTTAAGAAGAATGTAAAGGAAGTATAGTAGGACAATCTTTGGCTCTGACTTTGAGTTGTGTCCGGCAGCGTCTTAAGTCATCGAGTTGTACCATATGTATGACACCAACCGGGAGTTTTTGTTAAACTTATACTATTATGTGAAAGATTTCAACTTTTGGTAGTTAAACTGCATACATCAGTTACACTTTGAAAAGCTAAATGATAAAGGGAATTTCTCACTATTAATGGGTCGTTTCATTTTCCAGGATTTTGATATTAATCCATTCTTTGGTTATGTCGGATGCATTGACTTGTTTGAATAAAATAGTATAATATTGTCAGTGATAACAATTTGATAGTCGTGATTGTAAGGCAGATCATCTTTAAGTATCATTCGAAGCACTTTCAAGACTAAACAGTTTGTTATCGTGTGGTTGATGTTGGATACTTTTATACATTATGTGGTACAATACTCAAAAATGCAAGTATTCGTAATTATGTGAGTTTATGCTATCTTAGATGATGAAATGATATTGACTTTTCATACTTGTGGGCATACAAAAAATCAGTTATTTTACAAGATATTATACATCAGTTACTGTTTAGATTTCACTCAACTTTAGTTCGATAGAGTAAGAGAAACTATTTCTCAGTAGTGTACGTATATTCATTTTCGATGTTGATCACTTTGTCTATTGGCTTCAATGTCCCCTCATTTTTGACTAATTTTATTCAATATTAGGTCAAGTACTTTAAACCCTGAAATTCACTTTATCATTTCACATGATTGGGTCGAATTACTGATATGTGCTGGATACCAGTTTCACCTTTTTCGGGCATTAAAGAACTAGTGACAAAGGCTTGTTCTTATGGATCATGCATAATAACTATTCCCGAAGTAGATCGAGTTCTTGGTCATTTAATTGTTGCTTGTCAAGATGGCTTTATTCGTATATTATCTATACCAACTTGTCCAATGAATTTTGGGTTCGAGAATTCATCTGCTTCACAATTCGCTTATACACTTTCGAAAAATTGTTACCTCACACTATCCCCATCTGTGAAAGGTATCGTTTATTCGGATAATTGACTGTTATTTTAATTAGGTGTAGTGTAGATGATTTATCAAAATAGAAATCGTCTTCACGTGCTTACTGATAAATATTGATTTCTGATAAAAATCATGAATCGATCAATGATAGATTACCATTGATCGATTCATGATCTCAACAATCTCCATAATCCCATACTGATGATACCTGATAATTTAAATTTTCAAGTACCGTCGAGGATTCTTTTATGACTAGGTTGTATTATGTTATTTTTCATCATCTAATCTATTTAGATGTATTGACTTTCATTAGGAATTGTATCAACTCAATAATTAGTGTTACACATTATTCCAAATCAGCAAAATCACTTATTTGTCACCTTATCAAATCCACGTAGCCATGTTCACTGCTGATACTCAGCTAGATTATTTAAGCTGAGACGCTTTCATTTTGAGGTTGATTTATTACAGTAAATAGACTGGATGTCAATAAAATTAAGGGCATCAGTTCGTATAGATTGGAAAGAACATTATCGGAATGTGAGAAATTCAAGTACTAAATACCATAGTGTTTAGAAACACTGACGTTGCTGGGCTGGAAAGGCCTATGTCTATTATAATGTTCAAATCCGTAACCCAACGTTTTTATTATTTTATTTGAACACATAAATATTGGTATGAGGACACCAAATATATATGCGCCACACAAAACAATGAGAATTCGAAGAGAAAAAAAGAACAATAACGAACAGATTAGTGTACGGTAGTGTAATAATAATAATAATAATGGGGGAAACGGAAAGGTACAATCAGAAGAAATCTTTCAGTTAAGGAAGAAACAACCACTTTTTACGAAGAAAGTAAAAGAAGGTTACAGCAGGATCGCCACGGGCTTCTATTCTGAGCCATATCTGATAACGTCTCTAGCCACTGTGTTGCACCATCTCTCGGACCCCAGTCAGGGAGTCGTGAAGGACCAACACAAGCCAGTCCTTTGCAGCTTTCTTTCATGCCACGACACCATGTCATGCACTGACCACCTCTCCGCTTCTCCCAACCAGTCCCAGAGTCGGCAAATAATGCACGACGTGGAATTCGCTGGGACGACATCCGTAGAACATGTCCAAGCCACCGAAGTCGATGTTTCAAGATGGTGACACCGATTGCATTATCGTCTCTGTACCCGAACACACGATGCCGAACCTCTGCATTACTAACATGGTGTTGCCACTGGATGTCAGCAATCCTCCGGAGACAACGATGATCAAACACAGAGAGTCGTCTAACATCCGAATGAAGTGAACCCTTTTTAAAGATAGGGACAACTATCGGCTCATTCCATGACGTTGGCACACTTTCGAGCTCCCAGACCTTTGTAAACAACGTCGTCAGTTCCTTAGTCAGAAAGTCACCACCATCTTTAAAAAGAGCCGGAGGTAAGTCATCTGGGCCAGGTGATTTGTAACGCTTCAAGAGTTGGAGTTCCTTGCGGACTTCCGCCTCATTTGGTGGATCAGTCGTCACCGGCCATGGAGGGCAGGACAGTTCCATCGATTTTGCCGGAGCAGCAGGCCAGTTGAACTGCCCTTCGAAAAATTCTGCCCATCGTCCAAGACGTCGATGGATGTTAGTGATTGGCATCCCATCATCCTCGCAGATTGTTTCACTCACACCAGACTTCTTGCTGCCAGTGGCTCGGATGAGTTGGAAGAGCTTCCGGTAATTACCAGATGCAGCTGCTGCTTCCAGCTCATTAGCACGCTCGACCACCAGGCTTCTCGGTCCTTACGCAAGCTTTGCCCAATTTTCTTACGTAACATCCTTCGTTTATGGTCAAACTCACGGTCACCCGGAGTAGACCGACGGGCTTCAATGAGTTGTAAGGAACCAGAAGAAACCCAGTGCTTATAAGCGGGACGTTTCGCAAACCCACAACTGACTGTACCCGCCATTTTCATGGCGTCATGCAATTGCAACCAATGCTCATCTATACTTTTCGGTGGAGTGGTAGCTAGCCTAGAGGCTAGCTCGGTTCGATACTTACTTGCAACAGAAGTTGCAACCAGCTTGCTAACATCAATCCGTTGGTGGTGGTCACTTCGTTGTCCACTGAAAAGTAAGGTAAGATTGGCGCAGACCAAGGCATGGTCAGAGTCCAGATAGGTACTCCAAAAGGAGCGGCAGTCTTGTACACAACCACGCCAGCGGTAGCTGATCGCGATGTGATCAATCTGAGTCCAGGCTTGAGATGCAGAGGGAGGACGCCAGGTGGCACATCGGCGATGACTGTGCCGAAAGTTAGTGCTAGCCAGAAACAGGTTGTGGTCTGTGCACAGTTGCAGTAGACGGTCCCCGTTATCTGACCTGCGACCAACAAGTCCCCATCGGCCACCTAAACGACTCTCTTCTGTGCCTAGACGCCCGACCTGAGCATTCAAGTCTCCGGCTAGTACTACAATATCTGTCGAACGCACTTTCTGGAGAAGAACAGTTAACTGGTGGTAAAACTCATCCTTGATTGCATCCGGGCTGCAATCTGTCGGGGCATAGGCGGAGATGACGAAAAGACATCGTTTCTCACGCCGATTTCTTCTCACTTTGATGGAACTTTCTAATCTAACAGCACATAACCGACTGTTAATGGGGATCCAATCGACTAGTGCTGCCTCAGCTCTAGCGCTTAGTGCGACACCAACGCCAGCAAGACCAGACGAAGATGCCACAGGGTCCCCGGATAAGCGCACGTAAAACAAGCTTTTCGAAGCGACAGATGGAGAGCGAATTTGTAGTACTTCGCCAGAGTCTTGAATACGGGTCTCGGATAGACAACAAACATCGATATTAAGACTTTCCAAAGACATAGCCAGCCCTATCTGTTGTCCGACCTGCATAAGTGTGCGAACGTTGAAGGCAGCCAGTTTGAATGGTGCACGTGGTTTCAGAAAAACTGCTTCAGTACTCATATTCGGTGGTAACATACAATTTTCAACCGGACAGTGACTCGAGAACGTTTAGATACAGTCGAATTTCCACCAAAGACGAGCTGCTGTATAAGTCGAAAAATAAGTATAGACAGAGTAAGAATAAAAGAGGAAGAATAATGATGTAGTAATTAATTAATTAATTAATTAATTAATTAATAATAATAATAATAATAATAATAATTTGAATCATTTGATTGTTAGTTGAAGCAAGAAAAGTAGTTTCCATAATAATAGCCAGTTCATCATTTGTGTGTGGGCTGTGATACTGCCCGGGTGCCCAGACCGAAGCAGGTGGTTGTCTTAGGGGGCCACACCCCAAGCCTTTGACCTAAAGGTCTAACCCACAAGGCAGTGGAAGATCGTGAGGAAATACAATCCCATGGTAGCCGGTGACCAACAATTGGTTCATACGCCATTTGTTCCCTCAGGATACTGGAGCCCATGTGCACCATTGGTTTGTGATCCGGTTAAAGCGCCGGACATTCGCTTTTCGTCCTCTCATTTTCGTAAACAACACCCTCGCCGCGAGAAGGCAATGAGTAGAACTTGCCTGGCAGAGGCTGTTTACACGTGGCCGTGTGAGAGCATTTCGAGAGGGAGGGTGAACCCACCCAGCTCTCGGCAATACCAGGGCATTAGGGGGTACGTTATATTTAGGGGGATGCAAAAGTGACAGTGTGAATCATATAATGGCGTGATCCATTTCTGCGTTAAACACTATAGAGTAAGACATAAAAATGAAAATTAATTTTTGGTGGATCTTTTTCACTGACAATCAAAGAAAAAATATAATCTGAAACACCGTAGCACTCCACTTTGCCACACTTGATATCAGCTCAATAATGGGTGATTGGTAGGAAAGAACGTTGACACACGATATCAGTAATATATAACAGATAAGAGAAAAGAAAGATAGTTAACAGTGAATGACATTTCGTCACGTGATGTTCAAGGTTTAAAGTGAGATAAGTGGAGTCTTCGCTGTACCATAACATTTTCTTGCAGTACAAAGTTAGTAAAGGGTTTCGACTGTTGGTTTCAATTGTTTTGCAGAAGCCTACATCGTCTAGACTAATAGTTAGACACTGCTTTACTTTAGTCTAGTTAGTCAGTATTTTCTTAAACTAAAGTCCAGACATTGAAAGACTTGGCAGATAGTTGCTGAATGTGCGTAACGTACGATACATATATGTATAATTTGCAGCAACGGTTTTCAAGCACTCAATAACAATATAGTAATAAGTGCTGATGGTTAGTTAATTTGATTAACTTTGTTCGTCAGTTCATTTAACTTGTGTCAGATATGTTAATATGAATTTAATTTATGTGTACATAGAGCAGTTTGATTCCTTTAATTTCACAGAACATCCTCATTGGGTTGGTTGGCCAACGTGTACACATATTCGCCGTGAATTCCCAGATCGCCTTTTTGTTGGTTATACCACAGGTAAGAAAGTGATTCTTATGCTATATCATATTCTATTTTAGTAAATGTAATCGTCTAGCAAATTGATAAAGTATATATTTTGCCAGGCATAATAAAGATGTTTACTAGTTTAGGACGACTGATTCTGTTTTAGTATTGAAATCCATGACTTAACGGTGTGACCAAAATGTTTGAAGCCATTTAGATACCATTTCCAACTGCCTACACTTTAAGTGGGCTATGCTTTCTATAAACTTGAGAGAGCAAGCTAGTATTAACATGTTGTCTCTTTGAGACAGAGGTGTTTATCGATGATTTATACTTATCACTTTCAAATATTGTATTTTAGACGAAAAATTTACTCTTGATTACTTCTTTAACCATAACTTTTCATACTTTAGTAATAATTTATATAAATAAAAGTAACCCAGTGAGATATAATACTGTCACTACAAATCAAATCAAGTGTATGGTCGAAGACTACTTAGTTTATAGAGTGATATGTATTCAGTTAGAAATAGTACGTGAAATGAATATTGATTAAAATCTTCATATGTTTATGGGATCATTAATAACAATATAAATGTTGTATATGATAACAATGATATTTGAACAAGATGAGTACTTATTTGCCTGAGGTTTCCCATGCATCACACCGAGATAAACGAACAAATTGCCTAGACTAGTCACCCTCTTTTTTGTTGATCAATTCAACTGTTCCTATGGTGCAAGTTATATCTACCGATGTCCTAGAGCTGTATATGATAATTTTATGGGTTCCTGGTGTTGAAGAAATCCCGAATTGTTGTGACTACAGTTCATTAGTGCACCGTAATTTTGGGTATTTCTTCAAATTTTATGAGTTCTTGGTGAAATAATTCAAATGTGACAACTTGGAAGAAAGCATTTACCATCAAAACCTTAAGCATTAGTTTTAAGACTCATCATCGTGGCTGATTCACTCATTATCTGTGCTATTTATCATATCTATACCGACCTTTTGAATTATCTTTTTATATTCAGGTTATGTAGGCTATTACAATTTAAGTAGTCTTAATGATTTGGTTTATTCGCCTCAGTATAATCATTTAGCTCCAGTGAAAATGTCACGTCTAACAAGCAGTCCAATCACAGCATTGTCTCTCCACCCTCTTAATGGAAAAATGTTGTATGTACAAGGTAAGTATATGTATTATTATTATTATAACCATATTTAGTAATTTAACTTTTAATCCCATGTCTAGTTAATTTTACCAAACGAATTGAGTCTTAGAGATAATAAATTTTGGTAGTTGAAGGCCATAGATGAGAGGTTTTTAAAACTATCATAACAACGTAAATACTCCCACTTTTTACTATCGTCCAAATGTTCAACAGTCAGTTAATCATCATCAGCGTTGAGCCTGGAACAGGTGTGTGTTTGTCTAGGTTGCTGTACAACATAAATATAACGAAAGAATATCAAAATGGATCGAAATAATGTAGTAGCTATGATAATTAGATATACAGAACATCGGAAATAAGGTTCTAAAAGTTAGTAAAATGATTATGTATTGAGTAACGTAGGAATTCAAGATCTAGAGGAAGACATACAGTAAATGCATCTGCTTTGTTGTGAAAAATTCTGAGCCATGTCATCTATAGCCTTCAACCACTGATTACCATTATCACACAGACTCGAACCTGGTAATCCACATCTGCCAATATAGCTCAAAACGAACAGTCTATGATAGTCAAATGTTGAACATATTATTATTTATTTCTCCTTCTTTCATTCCTTTTTTTAAATCTACGATATTTTTTCTTTTAACTTTTGCTTCGTTTTTGTTATCAATTCTAACCGCTTGAATCTAATAACTTTATTTAATTGGTTTTACGTTATTGTATTTTTATTTTCATTAGGTTATTTATTACATCTTTTAGTGAAACTTAAGTTTAATCTTACAAATTATACTTATAATCTACAGAACGACGTTTATTTTGATTTATTCTGTTGATGAGAAAACTTTGGGAAGTAATTCCAATAAAGATTGTCTCACCATTGCAGAAGTTAAAAATGGACTATTTCTAGTTGTTTGATCTTTTGAAATATATAAATTATTGAAATTGTTCAACGATTAACGCCAAGTAAAAATAAGCAATTTTAGTTGTATCTGTTTGTATCAATCAGTATGTTTAACTGACACTGGAATTTTTTTTTATCAACTTTTACCACTAACATGTGTACTCTTTTTCGTAATTCATTGTTTTATCTATAAAACTTGGTCATCTCTGCTCGTACGTCAGTCTCTGACCACCTTTATGTATTACATGTCGTCTGATCTAACGAAAAGTTTTGTAAATGTTTAACTAAATGATTAAGTGTGACAATAGGCTACATACAACCCTCCCTAAAGATGCTATGGATATTAGCTTGTCTTTTATTGCTACAAAAATCTATAGATTCCTACAGATTTCCACGAGAAAAATTTAATTAGAATTAAGGTAGATGTTTCCTTCATTTTTATAAAATCCATGAATTATAGTATAAATGTTCCTTAGGTAGTGTTTAGATACATATTAGTATTAAGTTTATTTTGTCGGAGTAGTTTTCAACTTAAGATATTTACTGTTATCAAATAATTGGAAATACGTTTATTTAAACCGGAATTTTGTGAAGTTTATGTGTAGCTCGTGTCAATGAGTCACAAAGAAGGATCAATGATAGATCCTAGTTTCTATCTTTAGATGCTTCCAACTACCTAATACCCTTGATCTCATAAGTCAAATGTAATCTTATTTGATGTCCAAAAACTCGTATAGATTTTTATTTCTATTCATATACATTAGGGTTTAAACGCCAACTCTGACGTTAAACATTTATCCAACTTTCACACCATACTTTTGTACATGTTATTGTTATTTGTTATTATTTAGCCTTAGAACGTATCGGTGGTGTCTGGGATTTGAATGACTCTGTATGTTTCACTTCCGAGTCAGCTGAAATCAGTTGGAATCCAGTACATGGTTTTATGGGACGTGATGGAATGTGGATTAGTAATGGTGAATTTTTAGTTGGTTCACGTGAAACGTGGTTTACTTCGACATCATGTAAAAACACTCAATTTCCGAAGTGGTCTGCATTATTTGATACTATGGATAACTGTATTGGTCAGTATTTACCTGCTGAACCAACTGATGGTTGTAGCCATTTAATACCATTAGGAATCCAGTCACTCACGGTAAGAAAACCTCATTTTGGAAATGCCTAATGACATAAAATAAATATAATCTTGTATAAATGACTGATTTCATTCATTTGTCTCAGGATTTATAATTCATCACTAACAATTACTCAGTCGGTCAAACACAAAACGCCCAATTGTAATTTCAAGCCTACACGCATTAATGCCTGTAACCCAACTTACACCTTAACATGTTATGATACTTCCAGATAAAAATTTTAACTTCAAGTTTAGCTTTGAGGAGTTTTTGAGATAAAAACCTCAAGCAACCGTTTTCTAATATTTTATTATATACTATTCAATCGTTCGGAAATTAGGATCAAAACTGCTAAAAATCGCCTCTGAACTGGTTTCTCGTACAGCTTCTACAAAGTATAAACTCAACCTAAGTTATAAAAAATAAGCAAATTAAGATGTCGATCAATTCACTCATGATTATTTACCATAGCGTAGAGGAAGCTGCCTAATTGTTATCATTTATAGCTATAAATCTTTAATACTGCAAAGTGTGATTTACAATCAGACTGATGGTAGGCAGTATATTACAACAATTAGTTAAATGGTTGTATAAAGCACGTCTTTGAAATGATAGTTTTAAATTGTTTACAGGAATCAATGTCTCAACGTCTTCGGACTTCCACTTTGATGTCGATGATTTTATATCCTATATATATACCAATGATACAGTTTTTTAACTTCACAATCTTTCACTTGATTTTGTGATGGATATTAGATATCTGGTCTGCTTTATTCTTCAATCCCTTATTGTGTTTATGGAAGCAGTTTTAGTAATTCATAATGTACAAGACTATTACTTCTACTCATGTTGTAAGTCCTTGTGTACGGACTATTTGTGTGATGGTGGTAAACGTTCGATGGAAAACTGCGAAGTTAAAAATCATGACGTGTTAAAAATAAATGTATGTTAAATAGGCGTTTGATGCAATAAGTTTTATATAGTTCAGTAAGATTTCTGACTTTTGGTTCTAACGATATAATTCTTTTGATCATATATATGGATAGTAGTACTTTTGAAGTAGACTACTGTGATTAGTGTTTTTAACTTGTGAACACAGGTCATTCAATCAAGACAGACTCTGCGTTCAAAGTCATCTACAAGATAAGTAGAAGTCTTCTTAAGACAATTAGACTGCATCTTCTCTGCATTGCCGAAGCAATAGCCATACATCTGGAAAAACCAGAATTGTGTGTGCAAAAGAGACTGGTACAACCTCTTCTTCTACCATGGTCTTAATGTATTAGGAAATTTTCTTCTCTCTTTTTCATACTCTTGTTCCTTTACTGCTTCACCTTCCATCTTCCCCTTAAATCTTCTACCCCCAACTGGTTTGTTTTTATTTCCACGGTCATTCCGATTACATTTCATCTCTGTTTCAACATTTTATTTTATCATGCTGAGCCATCCTTTCCCAATGATAATTTCCCTATATATCTTTTAATAGATTGTAACTTGCTTTATAAATTACTTTCATCATCATGTTTATTCATTGCTTATATGTACTTATGGGATTAAAATTTTAAAATTTATGTATTTATACGATTATTCAGCTTGATAATAAACTCGTTGAAAAGCAATCCCTTCGCTGAACTTCATGTTTTCAATGTCTAAATAGGAATTATATACCTACTCAGAGAATTATTAAAAATCAGAAATCGTGGGATAGTAGTTTCAGAAGGAAAAATCAAACAGGATATCAGTCAAATAGTGGCACAAAGTGAACTATCAGGTTGATGAACGAGAAGGATTTGTGATGTTAACAGTTTTGAAATGACAATTGCTTTGTGTTAACCATGTATGCAGAAAAAGAGATCTTAAAACGTCTGGAAGAATATTTGAGTGTCATTTATTCACAAACGACAAATTATTTTCATTTGAAGATGGTCACATGAATTTTGTGGTCTAAATTAGGAGAGTTTTCTCTCCCTGTTAAAACATATTCTCATCAAAAACAGAAAGCTGGAGAATTCAGTGTAATGTAAACTTTTTTATTGGGAACCATCCTCCTTAATGTAAATCTGTAGCATAGCTGGGATGGTGGTTGTTCGAGGAAACCTTATCGTTCTCAATTTAAATCTCTCTGGTAGTATAACTTCATCCTTGTATTGTCATCTTAATGCATAACACTAACATTATAGGGATAGCAGGTTTTATTTTATTCCCGTTCAACCAGCGTCCATGATATTACGGTCTTAAAAAAAGCATTTCACCCAGTTCACCCGGACTAAATTGTTGTTACGGGTGAGTTCAACCGTCAAGTAGAGTGAAAGCTGACAGTCGAAAATTAGATCCAGAACCTGAGTTTTCCGTGTTGCGAAACTTAACATTTAACCATTGAACCTCCATTCATTGATTTGCACTTTTCGACTTCATTCAAGTCATGTACTGTAGCGCAAATGATAATGTAATATTGCTTAGTAAATTCCGTTAATATAAATGTCGTGACCGTCTTATAAGGAAGTCTGATTCTTTTGACGAAGTTGGAATTACAAGCATATACAAATGAATGTTTGTCTTACTTTACTATTGTTTGACTAGATATGAATCATGTAATTAAAACACGAATTTCAGCGAAGGGATCTCTTTTCAACGAATTTATTATCAAGCTGTACAATCGTATATATATGAAAATTTTGTTTTTGTAAAAGTACTAATTCCGTGAGGAAATGTGAACACAGTTAATATAAAGGTTATAATACTAGATCACTAAATCTATTGTTATTGTTATTATTCATATTACGTAATCTAGTATTATAACCTTTATATTAACTGTGTTCACATTTCCTCACGGAATTAGTACTTTTACAAAAACAAAATTTTCATATATATACGATTGTACAGCTTGATAATAAATTCGTTGAAAAGAGATCCCTTCGCTGAAATTCGTGTTTTAATTTTAATATTTAAATGGGAATTATCTGTCAATCATGTAATTATTATTTAATACCTGAATGCTTAGTTGCTCGTATGATACCCTGCAAGCCTTCTTTTATTGCTGAATAGTTCTTAACTAAAAAGAAACAACTACATTGTGCTCAATAATTTTCAATAGCTTTCACGTTAATCACATTTCTGAGTGACTTGATTTAATATTCTGAATTGTTTCAATGGTAAGCAAGCTTTTGCTTCATGTTTGTTACTGTCGATTAATTTATTGAAAATTTTAGGGAAATATATCAGGTTAATATATCTCAAAATTGAACGGAAACTGAACATTAAACGCAACATCTGTCATGATGTTGCTCCTCGTAGGGTTGAGATATTTCTTTAAAAATATGTGTGATGGAGATTAATATTTTACGGAATACGTAGAATCTATTGCAAATTAAATTAAAATAGGTCACTAATATAGCCTGAGATATTTTACTGAATTCTTATTAACCTTAATCTTATAACTATATTAGTGTTTGCCAGTCTACATAGTCATACTCGGCTCACACCACAACTCATAAGTTGTTCACTTGTTTGCTGAATACGAACGATGCTAGTCTATACAAAAACTATAGAGGAATGAGGATATTTACATCCTATATGTTTACGCTTATTAGTAGAGAGATGCAAACATTATCTACTGGGATGGAATTCGAAGTCCGAATATATATATACATATATATATCAAAAGAAGTTCAAGAATCCGAATTATTTTAATCATACTGTACTCATGAGTAGACTGCCAATATCAAATGAAAGTGATATCGTAATGGTATATTTATTGTCTTTTTCGAAGCTTGACAGAATACATTAAATCAAAGATTTGACATATTGCACGATGAAATTCTTTTCAATTGTTGCAATTGACTTCTTTTTATCGTTAATCATTTTTATTATGTACATAGATATTCAAAATTCAACTTGTAGGCGGATTTGTAAATTGATTTAGCTGGATGTATACATTTGTTTATGATTGGTTGATTTGATCACAAATAAATAAATGTTTTTCATGTTTCATGTGTTTCGTTGTTGTGAAAACTCTAACCACATTGATTATTTCATAGTTGTTGTTTTCTTTCTGTTTTTGCAAGTTTTCGAAAGACATTGTCGCTATTATCTCGAAATTTACTTTTCTTTTGTTTATTTTTTCCATGTACTCATCTGTACATTGGCTAATAGAGTGTGGATTTCAGTGATTCTCTCAATGCACTTGTGTGTAGTACGGACAGAGGACGTATTGAAGTGATTGCTGAGTCTGTAGAGAAGCGAAAATGTGATCCGTCACGTCCAAGATATATTCCTGAGGTTAGATTGTTGAAGAAAATTCCCATTTTTTTTACTTTAAATTTACTTGTGGAGATACTTGTGAATATATATCCACGTATATCCTTATATATAAGTGATTGACAGTAATTAAAGTATGTTATTATTTTTTTGTCCATCATGAGGAACGTTTTTGGCTATGCATTAATCAATAATATGTTTTAGGTATTCGAAGTCAGTTGGTGGTGAAGCCATAATATTGATTATGTGATTAACACAGTAGTATAAAACAGTTTGTGGCCTGAAATAATCAATGCTGTACTCAAATCTCAGCGGTTAAATCAACGCAAATGACGATAAATCTAACCGAGTCCAAAAATAAAGCAAAATATCCATCCTTGATTGGACTAGTTCCACATTCTAAGCATATAATAAGACTTTTAAATATGACTGTTAACACTCACGAATATGATACTCTTATGCAGACGTCTGTTGGCTTTTAAATTCTAACTGCCTTTACTGTATCGCTCATTACCTCGGGAATATATTTTTAGGACCTGTTGGTGAGAGCTTGTGATATAACACCGCTGCCTAAACCGATGTAAATTTTATTGAAATCAGTAGTTCATCTGGTGATAATCGAGCCCTCTTAACCAAGAAGTCGCTTCGATAATCTGATATACAGTATGCATCGCATGATTGAGAACAACCAGATCGAATTACTCTCACTGAATTTTTTATCAGTAGCATCTCTAATCGCTACTATGATACAAGTTCGAACCTTTGGGAATTCATTGGGTTTCTCAGTCCTGTGAACAATATCTTGTTAGTATGAGTGGAAGCAATTAAGAAAACAGATTATTAGTTCTTTTGTCGAGTAATTTAAAGCAAAGTCTAAAAATAATTATCTAAAGGTCATTTGACTTGGCTGATGGGATAAAATTTACATTTCTTGGTAGGTGAACCTCGATTAATACAAATAACTGAAGCATTGGGTTGGTTAGTAGCCAAATACTAATTTCTAATTTTATTTTTCTCAGTGTCTCAACGCCTGAACTAGAAATTCATTATCTGTTTTAACTGTAATCAATACCCTTTTATTATATTTACCCTACTCTTTGTTTTGGTTGTTCATTTCTAATCATTAGAGGTTATTTAATGAGATCTTAGGTCAGCTTATCGCAAATGGTGTAGTTAAACTATAAATTCCTTTTGTTTCTTTCTACGATTTTAATCGTTTGAAAATTCCTATCATAATAAAAACACATATATGGACGAAGAATATTATTTCCAATTACTTCCTATCAACTTCTATAGCTAGAAATGCACATTAGTGTTCCAATGAGAAAACCAATTTAAAGTGTCGTAACGACACTTTATATTCTTCTGTGTAACTATCATGACAGGTTATAATCCTAGTGCTGTTCATTTAGAAAGTGTGGGGGTAGTAAGGAAATCTTTAAAATATTAGTTAGCAACTTATAATTATTATTTGTGGGATTATTTGCACTTAAACACTTAAACATTGTTTATTTCGTGATACTAGGCCTAGATGCAGTGTAATTGACTGATTATGAATTCATCCTAACAGATGATATAAATTACGAAATTTGGATTTTTAAATTTGGTCCTATCACTACTTCGTGTCTGTTTACAATCCTACATACAGAACAGACATGGTTTCATTGTATCTCAATGATTTCCCAGGCTTCGGTTTGTGAAGTGTTGGCTGAAAACATGAAATAAGTAGTATATATCTTTAGAATAAATTTTCATCCGTGGGATTTCCAAGCACTATAGATTTGCTACAATAAGGTAGTTCATGTTAAGAAACGTAATATTCCTTATATTTCGATGTGTTTTAATAAAATCTTTCTATAAAATCCAGTAGTTAAAGACAATCTCTCGTACTCGGTTTTATGTCACAAGTATTATTTGATCTTACAGGGAAGTTGTAGCTGGTGCAAGGTCTATACCAGTAAATCAGTGTCCGAAGTCTAGTCGCGGGTTACCTTCTTTGGAAATAATTACATTACGAAGCATATTGTCTTACTCTTAGTTCTTTTCTGTGAATTTTCTCTTTTTTCTTGCTATCTGTCTAGGATTGTATTTAGCAGTTCTTTATTTAATAGTGGTAACTAAAATTATAAATTTGTTTAACAATTCTTGAGCTGACATTTAAGCCTACAAATAATGAGGCTAATTTGTGTAGTTTTGTTCGTTTGGCTTAGAAAACTTCAACATATTCTCTGAGATTTATATAAAAAAAAAAGATTTAATTTAATAGTCATTCAAAACTCAGCACAATATCACACTGCCACAGCGTAGACTCATATGATTCACTGAGTAACTGTCAAACAATTCAATTTATTTTACTGTACTAATAAAAATAAATTTCAAGGAAGACAAACATTTTAACAAAATAGTTGATAATGCAACTACGGCTACTTTTTATCTATAGTGATCATTATGTATCACTTCCATTGTATAGTCGGCCTACAGGAAGTGGCAGTATTTTGCTAGAAAAAAAGCATATTTGTCACAATATTCTATCAACAATATATTTTATTTGTTAATTAAAATTAATTTAAAAAACCTGGAAAGGCTGACAACATTAATTTTAACTTTACCAGATTTGTGTGTAGCCGACTAAGTACAAGAAAATTAAGTTGATGATATCTGTTCATTAAAGTCGACTTGAATAAATTATTCGCATGCATTTCGAAGCAGCGATTGACTGTTCCAATCAATAGTGGACCTTCAGATACTATTCTGACTATTTTATTTTCAATATTTGGAAATACGTTTTCTATAACACTTCATTTCATTTAAAATTTATTAGTTGAATTTGCATGCATAGGATAGTAATGACATTTTCACTTTGAGCATTAAGGATAGATGTTATTCTTCTCAGCATTAGACTTCTGTCTACTTTGCTTCTAAATTTGATACGTACTACATTCATACCTACTAATCCAATCCCCATTCCTCACATCGTTCCTACCATCGTGAGGAAGCCACTAGAATATCTTCAGTGTTACCCCAGCTTGGATCAACATAACATTCAGCCGAAACGACACCTTCAGAGATGGCTACTTATATACATGGCCCATAGAGTCTCTGGCTGCTTCCGAAATACTGGCTTTATGAGCGCCCTTTAAAGTCACAACAAACCATTCGGATGACCAGCAAAATAAAAATTAAAGTGCGCACGTTATTGTGTGGTCGGATATCATGAACATATGACAAGCAACCTCAGCTTATCGATGCTGTAGGTCTACTCTCAACTCTACTCTCTCACTCGCAGTTTCTGACCAGCTGTCAATCAAACTTCTCATCATGAACATATTCGATAAATGTCAAAATAGGGTTGTGGTTATGACTACGACTTCTAAACATACTTTTGTGCTACAGACTAAATTCCTGTGTCATAATTATCGATCACATCAGAAAGCTTTCAGTCTCCCATCTGAACGAATGATCACATCGACCACATAGACCGTCTCATCTTTCAAGTTCTCTCAAACAGCCTTCTAGCTCATTAGTTACTCGGTTATCCCTCGTTATATGAAGTTTTTTTTAACCGCTCTAGATTCTTGGAATACATGGGCCGTGGATTCAAACCTCCTAAAGTGCTCTACGTATTTTATGTTTCTCTTCTCTCAATCACTTCATGACCTTCGAGACTTTGTAGGGGACCTAAAAGTCTAATCCACAATGCAGTGGAGCAACGTCAGGAGATGCAGTCCCATGGTAGCCGGTGACCAATAATTGGTTCATATGGCATTTGTTCCTTCAGGATCCTAGAGCCCATGTTCACCATTGGTTTGGAATCAGGTTTTTCCAACTGCCTTATTAACTCATTTTTATTACGTCGGTTTTAGCTCTATATCCGGATAGTGTTTTTTTTTCTGCGAGGTAGTGCTAACTTGTTCGGAATCTGAATTCACAAATTACCTAGGAAAAAGATGGGTGTTTTGAAGAAGTAATGATAGTCACTGCCATCGTTGTAGGGAAATCTTGGTTTCAAATATTTTTCAATGTGTGCTGCTAACGTATCCAAGGCCTTTGATTTTGTATCATACGAAAAGATAAGGCGTATATTTGCGATCTACGGGCCCACTAATTCATTTGTATCATACATCGATGCATGTTACAAAGTGTCACCAATAGTTGTATAGAGAACCCCATTCCACATTCAAAGAGTAGTGAACCATGGTGACCTGTATATATATATATATATATATATATATATATATATATATATATATATATATATATATTCCATTCTCGGTTGGCCGTCTGTTTCGCCATCATTTTTTTAAATATCATGTTCTTGACCTTGACTATAATTGATTAAGTAAAAAGCACTTTAATCATAGCATTAATATTTGAAAAATCCTAATCTTCCATATTTAGCTCAAGTTTCAAATAATTTCGAGTAAATAAGTACATTACACTCCTGCTGTATAGTGTTTGGAGAGATGCTTTCCTTTGTTTTTAATTATACGTAACATTTTCCTGGATTGGCCTAAGAAAAAGTCACACCTAGGAATATGCATTTTATGTAGAAATCTAAATAAGGTCATGTAAAATCAATAGGAAATCTTATAGTCCTTATTCTAAAAACAATAATGAAGCACTCACATATTTAACATCAACCTTTTTAGTTCATAACTGCTGTTATATTTGACAGGTTGAATCTAAATTTGAAGTAACGAGAGGCTGCTCTAATGACCAATCTTTATAGAAGAATGTTCATTCGATCACTTTATCGGAAATAAGTTAAATACTGCCAAATAGCATTGAATTAATCTAATCTATTTAATCACCCATGTTGGATTACTCTTTCTTTTAATTATATCAGTCCAATTTGTGAGCAGTTGAAAATTGAAGGTCAATACGATAGTGTTTTTGCTTCTTATTTGGTAGTTTGGCTTATTTGGCAAACAGTTATTGAAGGCAAACGTAAACCTTGCTTCATAATAATAGGGTCGGTGAAAACTTTATGATCTATGTATCCAAAGGTGTTGTGTGCATGT